TTCCCAAATTTCTAGTCCAACTTCTCAATTAGATGAAGAATAAAATCATAGATTCATGAAATTTAAACCATTATAGGTTAGAATCACTTACCCCAACTTTGCTCCTTCAAATCCCTTGAAATCGCCTCTCTCCGAGTTTCTCAAGCCCAAAATCGAAAAATGAAGAACAAACCTCGAGCTGGGTTTTTCTGCCCAGTAAAAGCGCAGCTGCGGTCAAATACCCGCTTCTGCGGCACCGCACCTGCGGAATGTCCATCGCAGGTGCGGAACCCACTTAAAGAACAACTGTCCGCATCTGCGGTCACACCATCGCACCTGCGACTCATTTTCCGCCTCTGCGGAACAGACCAAACTCCACAACGTCCGCATCTGCGGCTCCCAGCTCGCACATGCGAGCTCGCACCTGCGGTCCCCAATCCGCAGGTACGGATATGACAGAAGCAGCAAATTTTTGGCAGCACCAACTCAATCCCAATCTTTCTGTCAACCACTCAAATTCATACCGAGGCCCTCGGAACCTCAACCAAACATGCCAACAAGTCACATAACACTATTCAAACGTATTCCAACCTTTGGAACACTCAAAACAACATCAAAACACCAAATCACCCTCGGATTCAAGCCTAAGAATTTCCAAACTTCCGAATTCCGCACACGATGCCACAACCTATCAAACCTTATCTGAATGACCTGAAATTTTGCACACATGTCACCAATGACACAACGGACCTACTCCAATTTCTGAAATTCCATTCCGATCCCGACATCAAAATTTCCACTGCCGACCGGGAAACGCCAAATTTCCAATTTCGCCAATTCAAGCTTAATTCTACCACAGACCTCCAAATCACATTCCGGACGCGTTTCCAAGTCCAAAAATAACCTAACGAAGCTAACCAAATCATAAAAATTCATATCCGAGATCGAATACTAAAAAGTCAAAACTTGGTCAAACCTTTCAAATTTAAAGCTTCAAGTTGAGAATTATTCTTCCATATATGTTCCGTTTAACCTGAAAACCAAAGCCGACGATTTACATAAGTCATAATACATCATAGTGGGCTAGTCATGCCCGAGAACTGGCGAGTGAAGTGCAAATGCTCAAAACGACCGGTCGGATCGTTACAGTACTCAACATGTTTTTCTTTTGAATTTCAGCACTTCTTCTTTTTCTATTTTCGAAAGAGATATTTTCCCTTCGAAACTCATCAAAATTCACGATCAAAAATTCAATAGGAGACAATGTAAAGATTAAAAGGTTACTAACTTATACATTGCCTTGCACTTGTCTTTTCCATCTATTAATAAAATTTATTGAACTAGCTTATCGATCCTACAGGCCCCTCATTTAAAAGTTAGTAGTACTAATTTATGTTTTAATATTTTGGAGAGAAGAAAGAGAAGAGGAGAAAAAAAGTGAAAAGGGTGAAACTAAATCCCTTGATTGAAGGCACTAATAATGGATTTGGAGCTTTTTAAGGTGGAATGTATGTATTTTGTAAACAAAACTTGTTTAGGTCGGGTAATTAACTAAACATGGACATTTTTGATAATAAAGTTTCAAATAGTGTATAGAAATGTAAAAAGAGATTTTTTCTTTCCTATACCATATATGAAACCTTATTACCAAAAATGTGCATAGTTTCTAATTTACCCGCCCTGTCCATATTTTTTCTACAGTTATTATACCAATCATTAAATACTAATTAATAGTAGCTGAATCTTCCTAATTTGTCGAGCTAAAATTGAGGAACAGAATATTCTAAAAAGATTATCTAAATCAGATCAAATCATATTTTTTCAGATATTCCTAATTAGGCGCGCTACAATTATGGAAGTAAATATTCTTCCAGATATTTTCCACCATTGATAGCCATTAAAAAGCTTGAAAGCTTTGAATTCAAATTTGGGTTTTCAAAAATCATTATTTGATTGGATTGGGTGTTGTTGAAAATAATTGGGAATATGGTTTGGAGTTTATATCTCAATTTTGAGGGGTTTTGGTGAAGATTAGACTTGGTTTTGACTGAAATTCAGATTGAAACTCGAAGAAGAAGAAGAAGAAGAAGAAGAAGACATATTGCAGAAATTGTAGATAAATTGTAGATTATTTGTATTCTGATTGTAGATGCTTTATTTTCTGTTTTCACAAATAAAAAACGGCTAAAACTTCGAGAAATCTTCTGAAAAAACGTAATTATGTCAAAAATCACAATTATGCTACAATCGGATTGGAATTGGATATGAAAATTCAATGCACCCAGTTTGTAGATATTTTGTAGATAAATTGTAGATTATTTGTATTCTAATTGTAGGTGCTTTATTTTCTGTTTTCACAAATCAAAAACGACTAAAACTTCTACAAATCTTTTGCAAAAAATGCAATTATGTCGAAAATGCCAATTATGCTACAATTAAAATGGGAATTGGGATATTAAAATTCAATGTATCCAGTTTGTAGATATTTTGTAGATAATTTGTAGATTATTTGTATTCTGATTGTAGATGCATTGTTTTCTGTTTTCACAAATCCAAAACGACTAAAACTTCTACAAAATCTTCTGCAAAAAACAGTCTACAATTTATCTACAATTTTTCTATAATTTATCTACAATTTCTGCATCTACATTTCTGCAATATGTCTTCTTCTTCTTCTTCTTCTTCTTCGAGTTTCAATCTGAATTTCAGTCAAAACCAAGTCTAATCTTCACCAAAATCCCTCAAAATTGAGATATATACTCCAAAACATATTCCCAACTATTTTCAACAACAGACAATCAAAATAAATAACGATTTTTGAAAACCTAAATTTGAATTCAAAGCTTCAAAGCTTTTTAATGGCTGTTAATGGTGGAATTGCTGCTCTCTTGTCTCTTTGAAGGTTTGTTCTTCTTCATTGAGAAAATTTGAAGCTGAAAGTAAATGTGTGTATGAACTTTGAAGATTTGACTTCAATTTTGATGAACTTTGTTGTTCTTCATTGATGAACTTCAACTGGAGTAAAATGGGGAACCAACTTTGTTGAAGGGTTTCTTCAATTTTCTGTGAATTTAGAGGGAGAATTTAGTTTCAGAAGATGGAAAATGGTAAAAGGAACGTGGGTATGGGTAAAACGTGGGTGTGACTCAGGGGTTAGGAGAGAGAAACGTGCAGATTCCTTTAATTAAGGAATAAAAAATGTACAATTAATTATACCCTTAATTAATTATGGTATAAAATTGGTAATTTGGAATACTAAGTGTAATTAAGTCAAACCTTAAATATTGAGGGTAATAAGGTTTCCTATGTGGCATAAGAATGTAAAAATCTCATGTAAAAAATCCTCAATACAATAGCAGTAATGGTTCTATTGGACCGCGCGAAGCCCATACAACTATGAAGAATCAGTGAGGCCCAACGAAAAATTATAGCTCAACGCCTAAAAGAACCTTGACAGCTGAGGATGACAAACGGGGCGGGGCGAGTTTAAGCTTATGCAAGGCAGTGCAGGTTTAAGTTTATGCGATGCGGGTTTAAGTTGGGGCGGATGCAATGCATTATCTATCGGTTCAATTGAACCCATAATTTTTGACATGGAGTAAAATTTATATGTAAAAATTCATTAAAATCATAAATATAATTGATATGAACCCATAACTTTAAAGATATATGGGGTCAATGCTAAAATCTTTAAAAGTTGAACCCATAGTATTTAAATCTTTGATCCGCCTCTTAGTTCAAGTATTTTTTTAAATTTACTGCGGTTGCGAGTTATGCATTTGTTTAACACCTGCATCGTGCAGTTTCTGCTTTTCGTCAAAGAATATTCAAATGTTTTCGTAAGGTTGTAATCTACTTTCTCAATTGGAATTTATTTTATAAATTTTCCCTTGCTCATCTTTATATTTTTATTTTTATTTTAAATTTTGTTAGTTTATTAATCTCCTCTTTTCTTGCTCCTTTAAGCTTAAACGTGTGGGTCATATAATATATTCTAGCTATAAATATGAACATATTCAGATATTACTAATAATTCAAGCTCTTTTTCTTCTTTTTTGTTTTCCTTAAGTTTCTTTAACTGTTCTATAAGATCATACCTGACTAGCACTCTTTGACAAATTTATCTTGTTCATAGTTCTCTCTCTTAATATATATATATATATATATATATATATAAGAATTAGTGTCTTGTTATTGATCATTAAAATATTGACGCGTCTATCCGGTAGGAATGTAGCATACTAGTTTTAAGAAGATATATTAAAATTGATTATTATAATTAACTCACTAATCAAGTTACTACATTTATTATGGAGTAATATAATATGCTAAAAGATATTTTCTAACAAGATTAGTAGTAGACATACAGTAGCACATGAAATACATTATTGACATAGCTGGAACTATCGAGAAAAAGAGACAAGAAGGCCGTAGGTTATCGTTAGTTTTTTTTGGAAAAAAAAAATTCAAAGAAAAACTACTCGTTAAAAATAAAAAAGGGATTTTTTTTGCTTTGCGGAGCGGTGCGGGGCGATTTACAAACAGAATATTTTGCTATACGGTGCTGGGCGATTTACAAACAGAATATTTTGCTATACGGTGCGGGGCAGAACGAGTTGAACTTTATGCGGGTTAAGGCTGAACTACACTGCAATCGTCCCACACTATTGCTATCTCTATAAAGACAATTTGATCCCTTCTTTTGAAGCTCTCATGCATGAGGCTCATCTGCTCATACTATCATGGAATATGGTGAGATGGATACCATTAATTGGATGTATTGTATTCGAGCTTTAGGAATAAAGAAATTCTCGATAGGGAGCGTCTCCTCCTTAGTATCGGATACCGGATGATTAATTAAATATATATAATTAAAAAAGGGCCATCAGGCTTAGAACTTAGAAACAAATAGAAAGGTCTCAATTTTTCATTCAAGAAGTTGTTTACATGAATAAATCATACTAGTATTTACAAATTAAATAAAAGAACAGATGATCATCCTATATAGCAGAACCCTTTTCTTAGCAACTACCTTCATTTTTGTTCTCATATGATTTTGCAATTTCATTAATGACCAAAGCTCTAGCGCGATTGATGGTTAAAAGACACAAGTAAACATGTTCTTCAAGCTCTTCCACTTGTTTCCTGAACCCAATATTACTCTTCTTCAACTCCTTCAACACTTGCAATGAAAACCTATCTTCCCTTCTATCCAAACACAATTGAACCATTGCCTTATTATGATCAATCTCGTTATGAAGTCGAGCCACGAGCCTACTCATTGTGTCAAAATCCATGTTCAGAATATAAGTACCTTTGGCTGCTACATCAAGTTGTTCTCCAACTTTCCTTAGAAATCCACATTTCAAGTATCGAATATTCATAATTTTCTTCTTTAATGGCTTTAAGGGCAGGCTTAAAATTGCTGGCCCCATCACAATTGCAGCAAGAGTATGTGCTGCTAGTACCAAAGCTGCCACAACAACCCCAGAAGTCTTATTGACACATTTGATCAATTTAATTTTCCTAGCAACTCTTTTCTTCTTGGATTTCAAACGTTGTAACACCGATGAATATTCATCATTAATCCGCGTAAAATCTTGTTTTTTGAGGTCGGAAAAGGGGTTGTTGTGGATGATAAAAGATCGAAGCTCGAGTACTAGGCAACCAAATTGGTCAACATTGGAACAATTATCAATCGAGTCAAGGACTTGTTCCACGAAACCATAATCGGATTGGATTTGGTTAATGCTTTTAAGGATGTGGCTGCAGAATTTTGATGCTTCGGCACTTATATTGAAGTAATTGGAAAGAAGAGATTTGAGATCATATTTTTTGGATGGAAAATTAGTTGATTCAAGAATGGATATTATTGTCTTTTGACTTGGCTCAAGGAGGATTTCTGAGAATGTATTGTGGCATAATTGAGAAGGAGATGTTGGTTCATTTACTAGTAACTGAGCTTTCGTGAAGAAATCACCATAAGATTTTGTTCTTAATGCCCCAAGATACTCTTCATTCACATTTAGGCTTCTTTGTGCGACATCTATCGTCATTTTACCTGAAACATAAAGTAGCTCTTTTCTTATTGACGATCAAGATTAAACAAAAGAAGTGCATGAAGGGAATATAAACATGTACAATTTGTAGTTTTTCACATATATGCACATCCTATATATCTTGATTATAGCTAGTAATAAGAAAATTCTAACAGGAAAAAAGAAGAAATATAAGCTAGGGTATAGTTAGCTAGGGATAAGAATCGTGAAAGTAAAGCACGTAAGAAGGCCTACATGAATAGAATAAATGGATCTTATTCCAAGTAAAAAGTGCATATATCTCAATAATTAGTCAAACGAATTTCGGATTACTTAATATATCGTATAACTATCAATAAATAGAAATCTAGATCAATTTGCTCATAGAACAAAGGAAAACGTCATTCATGTAAGTAAACTAAACGAACCTTTAATAGTTTATACCGCAAGTTCTAACATCTGCTATCATCATCAACTACTTCCATATAATTGAGACCCAATTAAGCAAGTGCTTTCTTTCCTAATAAAAACTTATAAGCAAAGGAGACAATATAATAATTAGAGAGGGGCTACCAAAAAGAGCCAAGTCCGAGGTTGTCTTTCTTGCTTGAATAGTGAACCACCCTTCTTAAAGCCCACATACAAGAAAGACAGTTTTAAGGATTATATCGTACGTTATCCCCTTTTGTTTTTGTGATAATGATAAGTTTTATGCATTCATGAATGAAAGAAAAACTTGTGCCATATGTTTGCTATGTTTAAGGCTAATATATATATATATATATATGGGGCTGAGAGGACGTGGCTTCTTAGAAACAGCTTTATTTTTTCAGATGACGATATGATCCAACTGGTGGCTATATGCCTTTGTTTTGGGGCATGATTATGTAAAAGAAATATCCATGTGTGAGAAGCAAGTTTAGAGAAAAGGCATAACTAATTGAACTAATCAAGCAACTTATAAATGTTGGAATATACTATTTAGGACTGAATATATATATGTTTTGGGAACAATATTAGAGGGGTTTATTAAAATTTGCTTTTTATTTTGTTATTTAATTTAATGGTTCCTTGGTGTAACTGGTAATCTTGCTGCCTTGTAACTTTGGAGGTCACGAATTCAAGCCGTGGAAATAGCCTCTTGCAGAAATGTAGGATAAGGCTGCGTACAATAGACCCTTATGGTCCGGCCATTCCCTGTACCCTTTTTTATTTAATTTAATGGTTGGAGATCAAGCGACTGTTGTAACAATTCTACTGTTTAGTTAACATGGGAGTAACTCTTTTAGTTGATCTACTTTTCGGATTGTGTCTTACAGTTTGTTATTTCTTTGATGTTAAAACTCGTGCTAAGAAAAATAATCACAAATTTACCTCACTTTTAGTATTATCTCCCTGGCCTCTATCCAAGCTAGTCATCCTAAGCTAGCTAGTTTACAATTGGTATTATGACCTGGGATAACCTAAACCTTCGTGTGCAAATCCATTGTGTTAATTATTTTTATTTTAAATCTTTCTAAGCAACAAATTAAAGAACTGATATTTTTCATATATAAATAATCAGTAAGACAAGTGCATCGTTTAGAGCCAAGTATATATAAAACCAGCAGAACCATACATGAAACATACTCTATGACATTTGGTTAGAGAAATTTAAGGAAATATTGTTATGGAATCAGTTGGGTTAAAATAACTGTTACGTAGCTTCAAGGATACTCCCCTAAATTTAGCACACCAATTTGTTAAGCAAATTCACTTTACATTACATGTATATCTGTTTAGTATGTCTTCCTCTACGCAAAGAATTATGTGTCAAGTGTACACGTGGCTTGCTGATATAAATACACGTAGGACAAAAATTACATGTTCTATTTAAATTTTTTTTTTTAAAAAAAAAAGTTAATAGTGGGAGTTGTGTGAAGGGTTCAACTTGGTGATGACTGATGATCGAGGATATTAGTTTTTATCGGAATATTACAATTTTTTAGCTGCTTTTTCTCATGTGTCATCTTTCTTTAATTTGGATTTCTGCTTTAGCTATTCCATATGAGTATCCTATTTCTCTCCTTTGCCTTTTTTTGCCCCTCTTAAATCCGATCAAGAGTAGGGATTTTTTTCCACATCTGCTAATTATCGATCCATTAGATAAACTACTGAAAAAATTAACTAAAATAAGTTCTTTAACTCCAGGAAGGTAAATGACATATTGCATATAGCTTTCTTGCAAAAAAATATGATATGTTTCTTTGAAGATTTAGTGAAGGCGAGAATGGGATAAAAGATATACTTTTACGAGGGTGTCACAAACAATATGAACATACACCCATACTTTTAAAATAATAGGTGGAATAATCCATAATCAATAAATGTTTCTCAAGTATATAGCCATATACTTTGTACATCTAGTAAAAACTTGCCAACACCCATGCTAATTAACCTTGGTTAACTAATAAGTTAAGATGAAATATATTAATTAACTACGATTTAATAATTATAGATTTATAGGGTATGCGAAGACATGATCAAATAAATGGTCAATAATGCCTTCAACTTATTGGAAATGGCTTAAAATTGCCGTCTTACCACCGATTAGATCATACTTGCCCTTAACGTTAAATTTGAGCCTAAAACTGCCCCTCCTTTTAACGGAAGCTGATGTGGAATATGTGAACTTTTTTATTAAATAAATTGCATTAATTTATAGGTTCACATATATAATTAGACCCAACCCATTCACAACACAACCCTTTAACCCAAATATTTTTTTTTAAAAGAACTCCAATAATGTTGTAACAGTAATTTTTAATTATTAAAAACAATATAAGAAAAATCAGAGAAAGGGTCTGGACCTTTCTTGGCACATGTTAGCATAACGTGCGTCATCATGGGAAAGATAGTTAAGTCTCATTTGTTTTTTTTTTTTTACAAGATTAAATTTGAATACACATCAGAATATCAAGATATGTATTAAGATTAAGACATCTAAATCTGAATATATATCTGAATATTAAGATGTGTATTAGACCTGAATACTGAACGACTAAGACTGTTTGATTTTTATTATCTGAATGTATAAAGTTTATCTTTATTTGAAAATCAATAAATATAAAATCCAAATGAAATACTAGTTAATCTAATATTCTGTCAATAAAAAATGTAATTTTTTAAAAATATAGTAGTTGCTGGTGGTGATGGCTAACAATGGTGCTTGTGAATGTCGACTAGAGGTGGTGGTTGGTGGTAGGTTTGGTTGATGGTGGTGGTTCAGGGTAAGACCTAGTGGTGATTAGTAGTGGTGACGATCATGATTGAAGATGGTGGTAGTGGTGGTGGTGATAGTTAATAATGGCGGGTGGTGGTGGTAGTTGTGGTTGAGGAAGGTGGTGGTGGATGGTGGTAGTTAATAACGATGGGTAGTGCCGGTTATGATTGTCGATGGTGATGGGGTGGTTAGTTGTGGTAGTTGAGGTGGATGAGTATTTGTGGTCGGGAATGATGGTGGTGGGAGTGGTGCGGATGGTTGGTGGTGGTAGTCGATTATGGCGGCGGCTATGATTAAGGATGATGGTGGTGATGGTTGTTGAGTATGATGGTGGTGGCGGCGGCGGCATGGTGGTAGTTGATAATGGTAAGCAGTGGCGATAACTAATAATGAATATGGATGATAGCATCTTCATGAAATTAAGTCTTTGTTATGGATCTTAATCATACAGACCTATTCAGGCCCATTAAGTAGTTGTAAAGTAAAAAAAAAAAAATAAACATACTTAATAATTAAGATCTGAATAATTAAGATTCACACTTTAAAACCAAACGCACTTAATATCTGAAATTGAATGATTAAAATTTACACCTCCATTAAGTTCAAACAAGTGATGCCTTAGAAACCCTTCGAAGGCAGTAATGGTTCAGGAATCTACCGCTTATGGCATAGCGCAATAAAACAAGAAAGGAAATCAATCAAAAATGGCTCTAGGAACAAATTGAGGTCTCTATGGGACAGTGCCAACAGAAATTGATGAAGCATTAATACGGACATTTATTCTCCTATATAAGAAGCACCATAGGAGCAGGTGAAGCAGCTTGCTCTTCGTCGACATGCCAGATTCAGCCATAATATTTTTGCCCCTGCTTTTTAACATTATTACATCAACTGCCATCACACCATTTTGTAAATACAGTAAACTTTTTAGGTCTTCTAAAAGCTCACTTTTGACCTTTCACTGCTACTTTAGCTCTAAAAGTGAAAGGTTTTACATGACTCATTATATTTATAACGCAACACCACGTAGATTACTTTTGACAGCTGCAAAGTAATTCCGTATAGTACAGAAAATTATACATCTACAAATACTGTCCTTCCAGAACTTTGTTTTTGGACTACCTTGACTTTTTCTCCGTGAACTTCGAACTTAAGTTATCGTGTCTGCTTGATTGAACGATCTTCTTTTGGTATTTTGTTTGGTTTTCTTGTTGGGTTTCTCTGAACAACACAACCTTTGCTAATCATGGGTTATATTACTCTGATCTTGGCCAAGGTTACCAAATCAAAAAAAAAAGGATTCAGTGATTTCTCATGTAAGAGTCAAATTTTTTTGTAAATCAGCTAATCCCCTGTTAAATCATAGTATTCTGATTCTTTTTTGTTTTTTAAAATTAATAGATCCAATTACAGTAATCATCCATGTTTAGTTAATGGTTTTGATCATTTCTTGAATTCTTGATTTAATCCATCTAAAGATTATGTCTTTATATATGCGCTTTTTTATCTTTTCCTTTTTGCTAAGTTCCCCAAGATAATTTTCAATTTTAGTTTACTTAGACTCAAATTGACCTGAAATACAGGTTTGAAGATGTACTTAGACTCAGTTTACTTAGCTTTTATTTTGGCAATTACACGTGCTAATAGTTAGTGGTGGCTTTTGAAGGTATAAAATTACTACCAATGTCTTCTCTTCTCTAGGTGTTTGAACAAATTCTTCAATGAATTACCATTTCTACTAAATTTGTTATTCATA